CAGTTGGAACATGGACTTAGTGTAACTTCAGAGTACCTGCTCTGTGGAGAAGGGGGCAGTGAGGAGGGAGGAAGTGGCCTGATGTTTGCTGAGGTGTCTCCTGCTCTTAAGAGAGCAATAATTAGATCCCCTTATAACCACAACAAAGCTTGCAAGAGCTCTTCTCTACGTGTGGGTCTTCCAGCAGAGCACACTGCAAGGATTTCACTTCCTGCTGCAATGCTTCAGTTCCAAATCCAGCCCAAATTTAGGGTGTGATAGCAAAAATAAAAGCATCTTTTGCAATAAGTTGTATGCAAAGATATGCAGAGCCCTTGGCCGTGGGCCGGCGTTTGGAACTGAAGAAACTCCAGCCCTGCCATTTGCTGGAGCTGGAACTGCTTTGTCCTATGGAAAACCACTGAGGAAAGTGCAACTTGAGGCAGGTGCCTTCCGTGTTGGCATCACCACTAGATGTCAGTGCCTGAAACTGCTTCTTCACCCTCAGCAAGCCACTGAAATTGAGGAAGAGGGGGAGCAAAACTGGTGTGGCTTCTGCTTAGGAGGATCTCTGCTGGGGTTCAGCTCCCTTTAATAAGCTGCTTACAATAGACTTCCAGTGTCTTCACTGACAGAAGTTTATAGCAATTGGTGACTTGAAATTTCCTGTTAAATCACATCAAAGGGATTTTGGTGTTTTTTTTTAAGCCTTTGGTTATTGAATATACGTAGGTGCCACATTGCCACTGATGTGTGTTATTTGCTGTGCTGCATTCCTGCAGGGCTGACTTACCTGCTTAAGTGTATTTTAAAGCAAGTGAGAGAAACTCTATAATGAAAATACACCAGATGAGTGTGTGCAATGCTGTACTTGAATATGTCTTCCTTGCTTTTAGGTACCATCTCAGTACAGCTCTGGGGGCTGAAGTTACAGAAAAACTTAATAATGAGGAAGTGCTGCAGATATCCAGAGCATTGTTATCCCGAGACGCAGATCCAGGATGGTGGCACCTGCTTTTACTTTCGTGTCTTCAGAAGGTGAGTAGAGGTGGCTTCCATCTGGTTTGGGCTCTAGCTTAATGCTTGGGCTTTAGGTAGGTGTAGGTGATAGAGCAGCATCAGAGAACCTCTTGAGCCAAGCATGGAAAGCCTGAAGAATTCCTCATCCAATTTAATGTGTCGTGAAGACTGGGAGTGAGTCAGTCTCTCACAAAGGTGCTTTTACTGTAGGATAACTGAGGGCTGCTCTTTGCTGAGTGTAGTTTTGGACAGGGCCTGAGCAACCTGATCTCCACTGGCCTGGCTCTGAGCAGGGTTTGGAGCCTGTCACTTGCTGAGAAGTTTGAACTTGGTTCTTGGCAAAGGATGCTCCATGATGTGCAGGCAGGTTCAATGCAGATCTGTGTGTACAAATGGTAGGAGGTGCAAGACACAGAATTTAACCGGCTAGAAAATCTGTGTGGTTTTGAGTCTCTACTTTTTGCAGCTGAAGAGGCCAGTTCTGCAGTGGGCCTCGGTACCCTTGAGACGCAAACCCACCAACACCAGGGCTGTTTAATTCATTCCCTCGTGGTGCTGAAGCCATCCAGCCTCTGGCATTTATTTGCATATTGGCAAAGCAGTTTTTACCTTTGCATTAGAAAAAGCTTCCATCAGCTGGTGCCCATCAGGAAGACTCCAGTTTGGAGGGGTTTGGGTTGCAGACAGCTCAGCAAACAGCTGGATGTGTGTGTGTCTGTTGGTTTTCATAAAGCTGGTTTTCAGTTGAATTGATGCTGACTTGTATAAATAAGCACCAAAGCCCCCTGGACAGAATCCTGGCCATGTACCACAGTGAAAGTCTTGAAGAACACAACTGGCTGCAGATGGATTGGGGTGTTTTGGTAAACTTGAAGGGAATCCATGCACTCACTCTTTCCCTGGGGCTCTGGCATGCAGACATCCCAGCAGAGCTGTGTTTGCTGGCAGCAGGAGCAAGGTCAGTCCTGTTTGGCCTAAATCTTTCTCTTCTTTTTAATTGTAATGGAAAAAAGACCTAACTTGAGTTCTGCTGAAAGCAGAAGTTTCTCGCTTAGTTACAGCTGAGTATAGCTGCACTTCCTGGTTCCCTGTCTCCCCTGGGTCTCATAGGATAATCTAATTACTAAATGGTTGCAATAAAGCCCCATTTTGCCCTGGCAGGACTAATGCATATTAACATGCCAGGTATTTTTATGCCATCCTCATCCTGTTCCTGCCAAAGTGGGTTGTTTTTTTGGCTCCTCTTGTCTGCTTTTGGATTTTGGATCTGCTCCTTTAATACATTCCTTCCAGTCTAGGCAGTGCTCTCCAACTGCCTGGCACTGATGTTAATGCCTTGCTTCCTAATCAATCAAGTCTACTGCATGCTTCCTTAAAGGAAAACTGTTCATGTTGTTCAGCCCAATGACACGGACTTTCACAGGTGTAAAAAAAATTTGTCACCAAAGATGACACTGATGTGGGAAGTGAAGGTGAAAATTTATCCTGTTTGGCATCTCTGAGCCCATCCTGTGGGCAGTTCTGTTTCATAAGGCTGACTGTGAGCCACAGACTTTGTAGCTCAGTTTCCATCTGACGTGAATATCTTGATTGTAGAAAGAACTGGGGATATGAAGAAGAGGTTACATGTGTGTAGTAGGGGCAGAACTTGCCTTTGCTTACTTCACTAATGAAAGAGTGGTTTCAGGAAGCAGGAGGGCAGCCCTGAGCTGCCAGGCTGATGGCTGAACTGGAGCTCTAATTGCTGACACTCCTCTGTGCAAACTGCCTGTCCTAAAACTGTAGAGCTGATTTAACAGCCATTCTCCTGAGCAAGCTGTCATCCCTTCCTGGAGAGCATCTCACATCTCATGCAGCCTGTGTTATCTGAGGAAGTTGTAGTAAGTCTCTGATGTTGGTTAACTCCTGAAGCTGTGCTTGGGCATGGGAGGAATGACAAGATCAGCTCAGCCTAAGTGGGTTCTACCAGCATAATCACAAGTTCTCATATCCCTTTAGATGTGTTGTGTCCTGCTGCAGACAACCATTGTGTGTCACTTTGAGCAGTCAAATGTCAGCTCCAGCCTGGCACAAATCAGCACTAATTGTGATATACCCAAACTTCTGCAAGTGTAGGATGAAAGGATCCCAAAGAAGATCATAAACTTCATCCCTGATGTGTCTTGTTTTCCAGCAGGAGAAGCTGCAGGGCCACAGCAGTGGGCTGATCAGATGGCTCTCAGAGTGGGTAGAAGGAGCCCAAGCAGCAGTGGAGGATGTTGCAGCAGCAGGTATGAGACATGTCTGGTATAGCTGTAGTTTTGAGTCCCTTGCCTGGTCTGAATTGGTTGATTGGCTTGCCCTCCTTGTATTCCATTCCATGCTCTGTTGGCAGAGCTGGCCTTCAGTGATTACTTTTAAGTGCACTCTTTCCTGCTGGTGTATTGATGATTCATACTATTAGGAGAAGCTTCTGCCTTGCCATGCCTTAGTGAAAATGATATATTTCATAATGTCTCCTTACTCCTAGCAGGGCTTATGCTCTGTTCCCAAAACTCCCACTGTTTTCACTGCAGGCATGACCAGACTGTGAAATAGCTTGGCTGGTCTGGTGAATAATCTGTTAGTCTCTTTTAATAAACTGCAGTTTTATTTGTCTTGCTGCTCTTTAGAGCTTTTCTATCTCAAAACATTTGAGTACAGAAACTGCCCAGCAGTGAAACGCAGCCATCTCTCTTGGGGTAGAGTGGGAGGCAGACAGGCATTTTACTCCACAGTGCAGAGTGAGAGGAATTTTGTTCAAGGACAATGAGGGAAAGCTTAGCTTGTGTGCTGAATGACCCTTTGATCTTCCACGTTCATGCTCAGCTGATCAGGACTTTAAATCTAAGCTCTGTCTCCCTCCTACCCATAGCAAACAGCCAGAAATATAATCTCATTTAGGACTTGAGCACTGGACCAGAATGACAGGACTGCAGTGGCAACTGGTCAGCCTCACGTGTCCTGTTTGCCTGTCACTTCCTCAAGTGACACTGACATAGAGCTGAAGAATGGGGGGTAGCTGTTCTGCAGTGCGTAGCACTCAGGTGTCCAATGGGAAGGGAAGGCCAGCTACACAAACAGTCTCCTGAAAACACTGAGGGACAGGGCAGCACAGGAGCATTAGAAGGTGACTTTCAGGAATGTGCCTAATAGGTCAGTCCAGAGCCATGAGATGGATTTGATCACTGGGAAGCTTTGTGGTGGTTGCTCGTTGTTTGCTGTGCTTTCTGAGGCGCTCAGAAGAGTTCCCTGGTGTGTGGTAGCTCAGCTCTCCTATGCCAGGAGAAAGCCACAGCAGAAGCAAAGGAAATGAGCAGGCAGAGGATTAGGAGCAGTTGGATCCTTCATGTGCAGCCCTTGAGCAGTTGTAAAAAATGGTGTTACTCCTACTATTATGCAGCACATCACTGGGAGCCTGAACTACAGGGAGGTGACTGCAGTGTGTAGGCCAGAGTGGAGTCTGGAGGACTTCAGTTTTCTCTCACTTACTCCCTGGTGTGTGTCTGTGAGGAAGGTTACAGAAAGGCTGTTCTTCTTGCAGATAAACTTGGCTGGCTGATAATGTGCAACTCAGCTGAGCTGGAATGGCTGTAGCCCATTTGATAGGTGACAGTTGGTGCTTTCCTGCCTCTTCCTACATACTACAGCAAAATGTGTGGGTTTAAACCATTTGGTGAAAGCAAAACTTGGGCTTGAGGCAGAGTGGCGCTTAGTTTAGGTTGTGATAAACCACTTAGTTACAGTATTCCTTTGCTGTGTTTGTAGCATGGGGTGTGATGAAAACAGACACAGCTCTGTGACCTCCATTATGCTAACCCAGAGCAGCACAGAGGAGGAGTTTTACATGGTTCCAGCTGTGGGTATTGGGTTCCAGTTGCAGAGCCTTAAAAAGGCAGAGAAACTGAAAGGTGAATTTGAATTTCTAGGTTGGAAGGACTCTGAAGGGTTCCTCAAATAACTACTGTGGACCTTGGGAAGGAAGTGCTTTCAGGAGGAGTGGTGTTGCTGTGAAGAAATGTCTGTATTTGGGTGGCAGGAGGGTTTCAGAGATCACCAGGGTATGGTTTTACCTTGTTGCGACAATGGGAGCTGGGATGGGAAGAACTTTGAGGAGAGGAGACACTCGAGGACCCTTTGAATGAGGCATTTTAGGTTGTAAGGTTAAATGACCAGAGCAATACTTGACCTGTCCTCAGGGGAATGCTGGTAACTGAGAAAGGGATATACCCTAACACTTGGTGTTCTGAAATGTTCCCTAGCTTAGCACAGTCCTGAGCAGGGATCATTGTGCCTCCTTGTGTGACTGGGTTTCCATCTTATCAGAGATCTCACAGCTCTCCTTGCTGGAAGAGATAAGGATGATTAGTTCCATGGTGGCATCTTATTTGTTTACTGAGCTCTCATAAACGAAGCTGTGCTTTCTGTGGTCTCTCTGCTCTGTCAGGAGGTACCTCCTGTCTTTTCCTTCAGTAGCTGCAGTGTTGCACTATGCACCACCTCTTCCCCGCAGGGTGTTTCTAGAAGCAAGGAGGTAGCACTGTCCTCTTCCCCTCTGTTCCCTGATGACACGCAAATAGAAGCAACCTCATGAGCAGAGGTACTGGAAGATGATGGGGAGCGCTGCTCTGCAGTGATAGTCCTGTTGCCTGCTGCTGCCACCACCTCTCCTCTCCAGACAGCTTGGCATGAAGCCCGGGCTGCTTTGCTACCTCATGCCTTTCCCCCTCTTGTTATCGAGCCATGCCACAGCTTCCCAGGCTCCTGGGTTAGAGAGATCAGCCTCACCCCTTTGCACTTGGGCAGATGCTTCCTTCAGCCTGCATAACTGTGTCCATCTGGATGCAGAATGTAGGCCTGGACCCACAGCAGATAGAGTCTGCTTGTAAGTGAAGTGCGGATATGGGAGTGGAAAGGGTGAAACCCAATGACCTTTGAGTTGTTCAGCCTGGAGAAGAGAAGGCTCCTGAAGGGGAGACCTTAGAGCAGCTCCACTGCCTAAAGGGGCTGCAGGAAACCTGGAGAGGGGCTTTGGACAAGGGCCTGTAGGGACAGGCCAAGGAGAATGGATTTAACCTGCCAGAGGGGAGACCGAGATGAGCTCTTAGGCAGAAGTCAGGGTGCTGAGGTGCTGGCACAGGGTGCCCAGAGAAGCTGTGGTTGCCCCATCCCTGGCAGTGTTCAAGGCCAGGTTGGACACAGGGGCTTGGAGCAAGCTGCTCCAGTGGAAGGTGTCCCTGCCTGTGTCAGGGGTTGAAGTTGGATGATCTTCAAGGTCCCTTCCAACACAAACCAGTCTGGGATTCCTATGACCCTGGGAGTGGGCTGCGTGGAGTTGTGTCCTTGATCTGAGATACAGAAGGGAGGAGCAGGATCAATCCTGCCCTGTCCAGCTCCACCAGCCCCCTGTGCCTGCATCTGCCCCAGCTTCTGCTGCGCACCAGCACCAAAAACGCACCTGCAGCATCCTGCTTTCTGTGCCTTTCCCAGTTACTTGTTTCTTTACACTCAGCTGGGAGGGGTTGCAGCGGGACAAGGTTGGATGTGGGATGCCTGCGGGGGACGCACGGCTGGAAGCTCACTCAGCACTAAAACCTCCATTAGGGCTTTCCACACGGGTTGTGGTTTAAAGGCAATGAGCAGCCGCTGGGCTCGGAGCCGAGCTCCGCATGGGAAAAGCCCCGGGGAAGCCCTCGGCCCCTTCCAGGCAGCGAGGGCTGGAGGCGGGGGGGGCAGCGCTGCGATCGCGCCTGGGTTTCAGCTTCCTCCCGCCCCTCGCTCTTTTCTCTGTGTTCGGCCCGGCCTCGCTGCGGGGGGAGCCCGGTTCGCTGCCCCCGGGCTGCAAAGGGCCGGGCCGGGAGGGACGGGGACGGGGCCGCGGGACGGAGAACACCAACACCAGCGGGGTTTAGAGGAGCCTTGCGATTGGTTGATCCGCAGCGGGGTGGGCGTTACCCGCCAATCCGCTCTTGCGATTGGTTCTTCCGCAGCTGCGGGGTGGGAACGGCTTGAGCCTCTCCTCTCTCCTTGATTGGCTCTGGCGCAATGAGCGACGCCTCTTTAGGCTGGCCGCATATTTGATTGGCTATCGTGACAGCGCGTGCGGGGGCGGAGCCTTCAAAGCGCTTTCATTGGCTTCCGCTAAGGAGGGCGGGGCGTGTGGCTGCGGGCAGCCAGTGACCGTCGGGCTCGCCCCGTTGGCCCCGCCTACCCCTGGAGCGCTGATAAGCGGCGGCGGTGGCGGCACGGGGGCCCCAGACCGGCGGCGGGCGGCTATGGCCGGGGCGGGAGCGAGCGGCTGCCGCGGCGGGGCCGGGGGGCTCCAGCCGCTCCGCGCCACGGTCCCCTTCCAGCTGCAGCAGCGCCGCGGCGACGGGGGCCGGGCAGGTAACGGCGGGGCCCGGGTTTGGGCTCCGGAGCAGCACCGGGAGCCGGTTCGCGTCGCCGCTGCTCCTGGTGCGACTCGCGGGCGGGGTGTGAGGGGAGGAGGGCGAGGATGAACCGGCTCGATCGCAGCACCCGGGGCCCGATGCGATTAGTACGGCGTGCGCGGGGTTGGTGCTGTACGGAGAGAAGTGAAAGACAGCTGGGAGAACAGGGAGCGGGGCACACACCGGAGCGGGGGGGTTCGACGCTAGGGCCGGTGAGCGAAGGGAGTCCCCGCGGGCAGGACGTGTCGGTGCTTGCAGGCGACCGCGAGTTGCCTGTTTGGATGTCGTTCCCCCCCTAAGAAAAGCACCCAAGTCCTGCGTGTGATGCGGCCGATCCGGCTTGACAAAGAACAGCAATTGGTTGTGCGCTGATGGTAGTGGGTCCCTAATTGCAGTACTGAGAGTTTTCTGACCGCTGCAGGGATGCCCATTGAAATGCAACTGTTGGGTGACCTAATCACAGTCTTTGCCTTTTCTTCCTGTGACTTGTGGCTGTTGGTGGGAGGGATGCTGGGTTCGTGCTTGGCTGTTTGCTCTCTCCAGAAGTATTAAAATAATAGTGAAACACTTTTGGGGGTTAAATACAAGATTAAGCAGACTCATAGGGCCAGAGGGGACAGTCAGTCCAGCTTTGGCCAGCTGATCTTTGTGGCATTCAGAGTGCTCGTCTCTTGCTTAAAGCAGCAGGTCTTTAATCTGCTTTGCAGAGGCCAGGCCTCATCCTGCAATGAGAATTGATGGCCCTGAAGTGTCCTGTATTTCCCTACTTGAGACTTGGAGTCATTCCTGCCCCTGGCAGGGTTTGTATTGATCAGAGGAGCTATTAAAAAGCATTTGGCTCCATTTCCATTTGAAACAAGTTAATGAAATACATTTTTTGGAGTGCTGGTGAATCCTTTCCTCAGCACTGCTGAGCTGGAGGTGAAGCTGCACTTAATGGGGCAATTACTCAGTAGCTTCTGATGTTATAAAGAAAAGAGAGGAAATCTCAAAGCCTGTGGGCTCCTGCTTGCGTTGGAGCCCTGCAGTTTACCTGCAGCTTTCTGAGGGCAGAGCAGCTGGAGCTCTGCTGCCACGAGCCAGAATTGCTGCTCTTCATTTCTTCCTGGCTCTGTGCCTCCTGTTCAGGCTCGAGGAGCAGGATTTCTCCTCAATCACAGTCATTTCATCCAGAGTTTTGGAAGTGTTCACATTTCCATTGCCTTCTCGCTCTTTGTAAGCTCCACTTTGCTGCCTGCCTGTGTGGGAGCTGGAGCAGTAAACTGGCAGTGTTTAACCAAAACCTGGTGTCCTGGTGAGTCATCATCTGACACTTTTCCTCCTACCTTTTGGGAGCCCAGCATGGAAATCTATTGCTTTAGCACCTCTTTCCTCACTTGACTCTGCTGATTTTCCGGATTGCTCTGGAGCTCTGTGCTGCTGGAGTGGGCTTTTGGAAGAAGAGGTGCAGGGTGAGCTGGGTCTGATCCTGCAGCTGCTCTGATCATAGAGGATCCCATTGAGATGAGGAGCAGCTGCTGGGGCTCTCAAAGGGCTTCTGTTCCAAGGAAGAGCTGGGGGATGCCAGGAAGGAGGCCTAAGAATACTTTAAGAGAACTTAACTTGCTGTTTAGTGATCCAGGCTGGCAGGACTTGTGGTGATGGTTGTCACTGGGGTCAGCATCTGGGGCTCTTTTCATTCCTTCTCTCTTTAGTGATGCAGCCTTAGGTGGTGAAGCAGGTAATGTGTTTGTGTTTGAACCTCTTCAGGTGCAGGCCAGGCCCATCCCTGTTGCATTCATCATTCTGCCAGCTTAGGTGGCTGCAGGCAGCTCCTGGGGTAGCTGGAGCCCTGTGCCTGCTCTAACACTGCTGAGGTTCCATGTTCTCTGGGCTGGGATGAGCTTTTTGGGGTAATAGCAGTGCTTGTGCTGTTTGCAGCCAGTTTGAGCTGTCCCTGGCGTGGCAGAATGCTCCAGAGGAACCAGGAAGCCGCCAGGTAGGTTTTTATTTCATAGAATCCTGGACTGGTTTGGGTTGGAAGGGACCTTAAAGCTCATCCACCAAAGCAGGTTGTTCGAAGCCCCATCCAACCTGGCCTTGAACACTTTGTGACCCTTTCTTTCAGCTGGGGTTGCCCAATGCAGCTGCATGGACCAGAGCAAAGGTTTCCCCATGATGGGGAGTGGAGAACTGAAGGAACCCACTTGTGCAGATAAGTGGTTCTGTTCCAGGTGTAGTGAGCCCTACACTGCCTGACTGCTCACTGGGAAACCAACCCGCAGTGCTTGGCCTAGCCCTGGCAGAGGAGTGATGTTGAGCACCACAGTGCAATGAGCTCTCTGTGTGCAGAGCTTGGATGGTGAAATCCTGGGTAAGTGGCAGCGCTGGCTGCACTGAGCTGATCTTGGCACTTCCCTCGTGGCTCCTGCAGCTGAAGGTGAGAGCCCTGGGTTAGTGGGATTCCCAGTTGGACAAGAAAGGTTTCCAAGAAAGACCAATAAATTCCCTCTTGGAATTTGTGTTAAACAGGCTTCTTTTGCATTAAAAATGAAACTTGTGGTACTGCCATTGAAACCACCTGATGATGTGGGCTTGGCTCTCCAGGAAATGAGGGCAATCTCAAAGGAGATTGTGTGGTTGGTAAATAAGGGGAGAGAATGGTTTCCATGCTTGCCTGAAACCTGCTGCATGACTCTGGGCAAGCTGTTGCTCCTCCCTGTGCCTCAGTTTCTCCTTTCAGGCTGGAAGCATTCAGGAACAGCAGTAATGGAGTTTGTACGGTTCCTGCCATACTTGAGCCTGAGGATGCTCTGTGAAACTCTTGCACGCATAATGCTGTTGTGCTTACACTCTTTAGGCTAGTTGTAACACTGAGCTTCTGTTAGCTTTGGTGTCCTGCTCCCCAGTTAGAAGAGGCAGCGGGAAGGTGAGCAGAAGGTCTATCACATGTGATGCTTCTCTTGCTGTTGTTTCAGGAGCTTCTTATGGGCACTGGCTCCAGGCAGATGGCTTTACTGCAACCAGCCAGGAAGAGAACTGGGAGGAGTGCTTGTCATCCAGTGTTAATGTGATTTATATAGCTCTGTCTGTGTGAGGGACAGGAAACCTTCATTTTCCTTGTTTCCCACCTTTGTAACTGTAGAAATACCAAAGAGGTCTTATTCAGTTTTCATTTGACTTTGTCTTATCTCTACTGGAAGATTTCCAAGGCCTTGACAATCAAAGGTTTCTAATTCTCAGAGTGAGAGCCCTGCCTTCTGCAGTCATCCCGATGCCCAGATGCTGATTTAAGCAGGGTTAACAAAAAAGGGGGAAAAAACCCAACGCACAGCTCCACATTCATTGCTTGGGTTTCACTCTTCTGATAGAGCCTGGCAGCGACTTAGTCATCTGTGTGCTCCAGGAGCAGAGTGAGCTAGTCCTAAAGATCTAATGTGAACAAGTGTTTGCTTGTTTCTAGACCAGTCTCTTGCTCATGAGAAGCTGCTGCCCATCTGCTTGCTTTTTCCTAGTTCTTACTTCAATGTCATTGTGCAAACCAGTCCAGAAGCACGCCCAGCCCGTCAGTGGGTGAGAGATGGGCTTGAAGGTCCCACCAAAGCAGTGTCTTGCATCAGGCTTGCTTGAGGAGCTGTGCACTTCAACCTGAGGCCTTGAGGATGTTGAAATTCCTCAGATGATTTTCTCATTTGAAAAACAAACTTTGAAAGCCTGAAGTTAAAGGTGAAGAGTTCAGCTCTTTTCCTCCATCACTTCAGGCTTGGAGCTGTATTGGAGGGAAATGCTCTTCAACAGCGACTGCATCCAAAACCTCAAAAGATAGCTTGAACTGCTGGTGTCCCCTCAGTTCCCTTCAATGCTATCTGCAGATGCTGTGGCCTTTGGGCAGCTCTTTCCAGCTGGACTCAACACAGCCTGGAACCAGGGGAGTGATTACAAAGCCTGGAATTGCTTCCTTTGTGCTCCAGGGCCAGTTGGGAAGCCCTTGGGGCTCGTTTAGCAAAGCTCATGGGGCAGGTTCCTGCTGGGTTGAATCAGAAGGGGCTCCAGCTCCAAAACCTGCTGTAGGACCCTCTTTGCCCCTGGGGTGTCCCGCTCGGTGGGGGGCTCCTTTCTGTGCCAGTCAAGAGCTGAAGCAGAGAAAGGTTCTCATGGGGTTTCTTAGAGGACTGTGCTTGGGAAGAGCAGGTACTTTCTGGGGCAGTTTGGGCTCTGGGTGTGTGTGGTTTGGGCAAGAGGCAGGAGGGGCAGACCCTGTGGTTCAACCACAGCTTCTGCCTCTCCACCGGAAGGTGCAGTGGATTTCAGCATGCTGAGGGCCTTGTTTCTGTGGTACAGTTGACTCAAAGCAGCAAAGAGCTGTGAAATCCCATCCTGGCGTGGGTGGGAGTTTCCTTTCAGTTGTAAATCTGCTTTAAGAGCAAAGGGTTTGTGAGTTTAAAATATGGAGAGCGAGAGAGGTGTCGAATGTGTCCCTTGCAGAGAGCTGGAGCTTGGAGCAGCCTGGTCTGGTTGAGGTGTCCCTGCCTTTGGTGGGGCTTTTGTGCAGACCCCTTAGAGCCTTGTTTGTCCTTTGGTGCCTCGAGTAAGCACGTTCTGCAGGCTACTGATCTCCTCATTGCTGGTTAAAGCTTGAGCTCTCCCCCTTGCCTCCTCTCCTTACAAAGACCTGGCTGTAGCTGGCTCTGTGGATCTTTTCCTCTCCAGCTTCTGTGACCTTCCCTCCCAGCACCCTTCCAGCTCTTGATCTTGCCTTTGTTTCTCTCTTGGGAGTTAGCTCTGACCATGCCATGAATTCCTGTGAAATGCTACTCTTGTTTTCCAGAGCATCTGCAGATTCCTGCGGTGTTCAAACCAGGATTTAAAATTTCATTAAGAACAAGGAAAGCAGCCCCTTCTTCTCTTTCAGGGGCTTTATGGGATTCCCAGAGGAAAAGCTTTTATTTCTTGCCTAATCCTGCCTTGCTTTCAGGTGATGTGATAGGTAAGGTCCTCTTGGGGAATGAAGCAGCAGCAATGCTTTGGTGTGCCACCAGGAAGTGCCTGGAGTGACTGCAGTGGATGGGTTCCCCCATCTTCACATTCCCTTTTAGTGTGGAGAGAGGCACAATGCTGGCAAAGGCAATTCTTTCCCTGTGAAGACTGACAGTCTTTGCTCTGGTAAAGATTGGAACTGCTCAACTGCAGGGAAACTGCAGCAAGGTTTAAATGAGTTCTAATGGTGGAGCTTCAGTTCTGGTCTTGGTTTCACTCCCACTTCTGCTGCTTGGGAACGCCCGGGTGAAGTGGGTTTGGGCCTCAGAAGAGAGGTTTGCTGATCCAGGTACCCTTGTGCAGGGTGAGGTGAGGTGGGATTCTCTGTTAACATCCTCTGCAGGTCCTGCCTGTGTCTGCTCCAGTTACATCTGAAGACAAGGAGAGGAGAAGGGAAGCTGCTGGATTTCTTGCTGTGGCTCATCTTCACCTCCTGCTCTGCCTGCTCAGATGCTGTGGTCAAGACCTGCTCTACTCCCGAGCTGTGGGTTTGAGCCATGACTCGGGGAGCAGAACAGTTCTGAAGATGTACATAGGGTGCTTTTAGTGCTCTGCCATGGTAGGAAGGATTTCCTTTCCGCTGATGGAGCTGCTGCCCTGGTGACCACCACAGCAATGCCAACATTTCTTGTGCCACCTGAACTGTGTCTGAGTGGCTGCTGTGCAACAAGAAGGTGCTTTGTACAGAGATCTGCAGGCAGGTAGTGTGGGAGGATGTGGCAGATGCAGGGAGCGGTGATGGGGTGCAGTGGGGGACACTGACACCCACCCAGCTGCCTGGTTTGATGGAGATACTTTATCTAAAAGTAAAGTTGCTGGCACAAGGTCCTGCTGTGATCGTAAGAATTAAACTTAGGCCTTTGTTATCTCACGGCACCCAAAACTGGGGGCATCGTCTGAGTAAGATGTGTTAGAGCAAGAGAAGACGAGGCTTTAGACTGGGGAAGCTGACACTTACATGAAAGTACTAACATAGTAATCTCTGTTCCACTGGGGTGGCAGATACTCACACAAGTTACTGACAGAGCTGCTTTGCTTCCATCCTGGCATGGCTCTCCCTGCCACATCCAATAACCCAAACCCTACATGCAAACCCATTTGGTACACCTGGATATTGCAGAATGCAGGGCAAGCTTCCCTCTGTGGCAAGGCTGTGCCCATTGCTCTGTGGTTAACTGGGAAGCTGCTGGTATTTAAACATAGACTGTTTTTGTGCTTCCTCACTTGAAGATAGAGCTTTGCAGGGATGTACTCCTGAACTATCAGGCTCGGAACAACGTGTCCCTCAGTTTCTGATATTGAAGGTTCTGTTTCCCCAGGGTGAAATCTGCAGAAGGAAGGAAGAGCATTTTACAACTCCAAGTAGTAAGGGGAACTTTAGTTTTGCTTGCCATCATTGTCTGGTCCAGCTGTCAGTATTCCTTAGTGAAAAGTGACCCTAGGAGTTGCATTATGTTTACTGCAGAATACTGTTTTCTCTTTCTAGATGCAGAGATTGGCTCTAGAGAGACTGAGGCATCTCTGAGCTCACTGCTGCTGTGGCTGGGACAGACCAGGGACACTGCACATCTGAAGACTTCCTACTTTGCACCAGCCTAACTTGTGCCTGTACAAAAGCCCCGTGCAGTGTTTGGAGGCAGCCAAATGGCTCCGGGGGATAGGGCTGTTATCTGCAGCAGCTTCACGGTCACAGGGGAAGGAACAGCTCCACAACCTGACACTTCTCAGCTGTGGAGCTGGCCTGGACCAACTCCAGAGCTTGTGGCTAGGTGGCAGCTCTGCAGGCTCGGTGCACAGGGATGATAATAGCACAGGGACTGTAAACAGGACACTCCACCCTGCCTCAGTGCCCCAGGCCCTGTGCAGGCAGCCTCTGCACCCAGCAGCACCCTGCCCTTCCCTGGGCTGTTCAGTGGCAGAGCTCTGTGGAAAGGAGCAGCAGTTGCTGCTGTTCATGCATCAATAGATTTAGATGGTGGTCAGCCATCACACAGTTGTCACTGTAGGAGGCCATGTCTCCTCTGCTCTCAGCCATAGAATCTATGCTGGAAAAGGCCTTCAAGATGAAGTCCACCACTAAACCATATCAGTTGTCTGTTCTTGAGACCTTTCAGGCTGGTTTTGCCCACATTGCCCATGTTGGAGGCTTGGAGTACAAAGGTGACCCCAGTCACTCGGGATGTTCTGGTTATTTCAGAGAGCTTTTGGGGGCCATGGACTGTCAGAGCAGCGTGGGATGAGGCTGCCCTGCTGGAGGAGGGTTCAGGTCCCCTGAGCAGCAAGAGAGGAAGAGGCAGATGCAGTCACATGTAATGGAGGTGCAAGTGACTTTGCATGTGTGGGCAATGAGGCATTGAAGAGGAAGCCACAGATACTCATGGGTTTCTAAACTGGAGCTCGTGGCACTTGCTGTTAACTGTTGGGAACAGGGAGCATGCCTGGAACTGCACAATGAGCCTTTAATCCAGCATAGCCCTTGCGAGGTGTGGCTGTGCAGGGCCTGATGCTTCTCTTGCTCTTCCATGTGGCTTTTTGTTCCTGCCCTTTTCTCACCTAGAGCTCGAATTCCACTGCTCAAAAATGTGATTTTTAGCTGATGAAAAAGATATATTCACCAGGCCATGTCCCTGGAACAGCCTCAGCTGGGGGCTGCAGCACCTTTGTATACAGAGGTATTTGGCAAACACAACAGAGTGTTTTAACAGTTTCAAGGCTGCGTTTAATGTGGTTTAACTCCCTCCCTGCCTGTTCTGCCTGAAGGGACAGGCCAAGGGGAATGGCTTTAACCTGCCAGAGGGGAGACTGAGCTGAGCTCTTAGGCAGAAGCTCTTCCCTGTGAGGGTGCTGAGGCGCTGGCACAGGGTGCCCAGAGGAGCTTTGGCTGCCCCATCCCTGGCAGTGCTCAAGGCCAGGTTGGACACAGGGGCTTGGAGCAAGCTGCTCTAGTGGAAGGGGTCCCTGCCCGTGGCAGGGGTTGGAGCTGGAGGAGCTTTAAGGTCCCTTCTGTCCCAAACCAGGCTGGGATTCACCAGGCTGTATGGGCCAGTTCCCTTGTGATCATTGTAATGGATGTGGGCCTGTTAATTGTGACGCTGCTGGTGCTGAGCCTTGGCTTTGGAAGTCTCATGTTCTTTCCTTTCCCCCTGTGCAGCCAGCGTTCCCTGTGCTGCTGCTGTGGAGAAGAGCTGCCGTCCCCAGCAGCCCCGTGTGCGGCGCACCTCCTCACTGGACACCATCGTAGGCTCCTACCTGCTGGGACAGTGGCCTCGGGATGCTGAAGGAGCTTCCACCTCATGCATGAATGACAAAGCTACCCAGGTAAAAACACCAGACTGCTCTTGAGGTCTGCGGCTCAGGAGAGGGTTGCAGGACTGCAGTGAGCTGTAAACGGGGGTGAACGGGGAAGACACTAAACTTCCACCCATCCAGCTGCAGCTTTCTAGGAAGGCTTTTTCCCCCCTTTTGCTTCCCAACTTCACTTGATCCCACTTTGATGCAGAGTTAGCATTTCCTTGGCCTTGTTTGGAGGCAGATGGTCTCTGGCTCCCTTCTCCAGCACTGGCTCGATGCTACTTTAGTGCTTCCTGGCTTGCTGTCCTTGGCCAAGTCCTTATATAAACCTCTTGGGCTGCGTGCCACACACCGCAAGGAGTCAGGGGTGCTCCCAGCACAGGCTCGCTGGCACAGGCAGCTCTGCTGGAGGATGGAAGAGCTCCAGTCCTCGAGGAACTCTTAGCAACCTGTAAATATTACTGTATGGCAGCAAATAGTGCCATATCTGCAGAGGTGGAGGAATTCGGGAGGATAAGGGCATCCGTTTTCTCAACGAGTGGTTTATTCAGCACATTGAGCCTCTGTGAACTCCCTGTTTGAGCTTTGCTAGTCAACAATGTATTGCTGGGCTGTTTGCAGGAAATTCTCCCTTGGATTCCAACTTCCATTGTCCCTTTCCAAAGTATTTGTGCCTGCTTTTGTTCCAGTTCTAGTGCCCAGGAGCTCTGCTGAGGGCAGAGGCCATGCTGGAAAGGAAGGGAAAGAATTTGCCTGTTGATTCCTAGGCAGGGAAGCACACTCTGCCTTTCTGGCCTTATCACATGCTGGGAACACTTAACCCCAGTGCTTTGGGGCTAATGAGTTTGTCTTGCACATAGCCATGGTTTGGGGAATAGGTTGGAGAAGAGGGACACCTTCTTCTTCCTGGAATGGAAGCCATTACTATGTTAATTCCTATGTGAGCATGGAGCTGAGCACTCCTGGCAGTGAATAGGTGCTGCAGCCTTTCAGCATTATCTGCAGGAGGCTTGCAAATGGCAGTTTCACCTTGCACAATGCCTGTGAAATGAGCACTGATCTCCAGTGCTTCACACACAAACCCCAATGTGTGGCAAAGGACTTGGCTGGTGATAGTTGGGAATGAAGTCCTGGGTCTGGCCTGCCCTGCACCTCCTCCTCATAACCCTGGCACTTTGCTGCTCCTGCCCTGTTCTGAGGCTCAGGAGTTCCCAAACCTGGGACTCTGTGTCATCAGCACATGTTCGTCTCCTTACTGAGCTCCTGATGAGCTCTTCTGCAGAGCTCTGTCCGGTTGCTGTCCTGGGGTGGGTGAGAGGTGCAGGTGCTCAGTGTGGGGCTGAGGGTGCCAGCACTGCACAGGGTCAGAGCCCACGGCTTTCTGGTGCTGTGCAAAGCACTTTGTTCTCTCTCCTGTCTCTGAGGAAGCGGTTTTGTCACAGTACAAAAGGTTCTGTAATTTCCTTCTGCCCTGACAGGGCCTGCAGAGGTGGGACGTGTCTGCCCCCTCCGCTCTCAGGCCTTTCTCTTGCAAGCAGCAGGTTTTTTTCCTTTTTAGGCCTGAGTTTTCTTGTGAGCCCCAGTGCTCGGGTGTCCCAGCCATAGGCTGCAGTAAGTGACAAGCAGGGCTCAGGAGGCTTCTGTTGACTTGAGGGCAGTTTCTGTCCTGTCCTGCAAGGCAGGGCTGTGCCTGGCAGCTGGAGTTCAGCTTCCCACACACTTGCTTCTTGCAGTGACATGGGACAGGGCTGTGGTCTCGTCCCTTAGACCTGTGCCTCTCATCCTTATGTGTGTGATCCCCTGGGACACAGAGTGACACAATGCTTTGGGATAACGGCCAAATAATGATGTTTGAGTTGTTTAGGGGAGAGTGTTTGAGGTAGGAAATGAGCTCATGTGCCATGTGCAAGGCTGGTCCTTGCCATAGGATTTCCTATCCCGTTGGGCTGCTCCTTAGCTCAGTCTGGCACAGGTCTGGGTGGCTGTGAGTGCTCAGAGCAGTGGTTCAGGCTCTTTTCTTCTCTCCAACCAAACTGGAGTTGAATTGCGCTGTGCTGTCTGCTGCTCACAGGCATTGCAAAATGGAGATGTAGGCAACAGGGAACACACTGCTGCTTACAGTGCTGTGTGTAAGAAGGGGCTTCATTCAGAGCCTGTGTTTTCTGCCTAGAAATCGCCTGTATCCCTCTCCAGAAGGGAAGGCTGGTGCCTCTGTGGGTAACTTGCCTTGTTCCTTTGGTTTAAACAGACTTTCAAGCCCGTTTTTAGAGCAGCAGCTTCTGTCATCCCCTGGATTCAAGAGGCTTGTTTAAAGCAGCTGCTGTTCCTGCAGTAGCCTCTGGGGAGATCAGCTCAGCTGCTCCGAGAGGAGATGTTCTCAGGCCCTTGCACCTCCTGAGCCTGGAGGAGGGAAATGTTATCCAAAGCCTCCCACAGAAATAGCAGTGACACGGGGGGAGCATGTGGAGAGGCACTGAAATGGGATGTTGGGGAGGAAAAAGTGATGGTTGGTCTCAAACGCTGTGCCTGTGGGACTGCTGGGATGGTGCTGAGTTCAGGGGGAGGAAGTTCACACCCTTTGCTGATCACATTAACAGTGCTTTCTGATTTCCACTGATACTCAAACTGTGGCTGGTGCTTGGCCAGCAGCTTGGGAATGTGGTGCTGAGGCTGCTCTGCATGAGGAGGTGCTTGAGACCTGCAGCCCTGCAGATGGAGGCCCATGAGCTGCGGAGGCACCAGAGCTCCTCCAGCCCCTCTGCAGCCAACCTCTGGTTCTGGTTGCGCTTTTGAACCCTGGGCTGGGAGGCTGAGGTCTCAGGAGCACTTTGTGTGCTCTCACCCTTGGGTGAGGCTTTTCCTCTTGTTGATGCTGCTTCATACAATGAGTGCCTCGAACATGAAACACTGCAGCACAGCAGCATGGGGCTGCTGCAGTTCTTTCTCCAGGATGATGCTCTTTATCTCACAGTCATAGTCAGGGTTGGAAAGGAGCTTAAGATCATCTAAGGCACTTGTGGCGATTGTCCACCAGCGATAGGACAAGGGGTGACGGGTTCAAACTGACATGGGAGATTGAGATGAGCTCTTAGGCAGAAGCTCTTCCCTGTGAGGGTGCTGAGGCGCTGGCACAGGGTGCCCAGAGAAGCTGTGGCTGCCCCATCCCTGGCAGTGTTCAAGGCCAGGTTGGACACAGGGGCTTGGAGCAAGCTGCTCCAGTGGAAGGGGTCCCTGCCCGTGGCAGGGGTTGGAGCTTCAAGGTCCCTTCCAACCCAAACCAGGCTGGGACTGATTCTGTGATTATTACATTAATGGGGGAGGTGAGAACAGGCCAGTGAATGGGCAGAAGTGATCACTTGTTCTTAGGACTCCAGCACAGTCTCTAAAGCAGTAAATGTGATTATTCTCAGCCATGTTTCTCATCACTCCAGACTCCAGTGTCCTGGCATGATGTGGAAGTGGGGAAAGCCAACTCCAGTGCTCACAAGCGTTCTGCTTCTTGGGGTAGCACAGACCACCGCAGAGAGGTAAACTACACCCCTCCCAATGCTTGAGCAAGGTCTGTGCTAGTTCCTAATGTACAGGAGGCTGCTGCTTGCACGGGAGCGGAGTGGGAGGCCAGGAGACTACTGAAGATGAGACCTTAGCCCTTATTCTCATCCCTAACGCTCTGTGATCCAACTAAAGACTGATCTTGGTGGCTTCTTCTAGCAGGCGCCTATTGTAAAGCAGCTCCACTGCAGCTCAGTGCATTGCTGGTCAGTGTAGTGGTGTCTGTGGGTTCCAGGTGGTTCCCAGCTTGCTGTAGGTGGAGGAAAATCCAGATCCTCTGGAGGAATGGTGCTGGGCACGCTGCAGCAGGGCAGGCTGTGAAGAGGCCTTTTGGGGGGTTCTGCTCCATCCTTCTTGAGGAGGCCAAAGCTGCTCCTTGTGATTGAAGCCATCTCAATCCTTGTGGGTTGGAAGAGAGGGGGAGGAGAGAGACTGGGCCTGATCCTGTTGGGGGGGGGGGGGGCTGTTGGCTTGCCTGGTTCTAGCTCAAGCTCTGTTTGCCAGATTGCCAAACTGAAGCAGCAGCTCCAGAGAACAAAGCTCCACAGCAGAAGTGGCAGAGAAAAGGAGAAGAGCTCCCCTGTGCAGGGGGACCACGCTGTCCTCCCATCCCTCCGGGTATGTTCCTGCCTCCCATATCTGCCATCACCACATGTCCCAGGGCAGGTGTCCAAGCTGTTCCTGTGCCTCAGGGGACCACGTTTCTTTGCTCCTCTCTCCCACCTCACTGTGTGCCTGTGCTTTGATCTGCAGTTACTGACACGTCTTGACTCTGCCATCAGGCTTCTGTCAGCCTGAGCCTTGGGAACTGCTGTGGGAGCAGGATGAGTTTGTGCAGACACAGCGGTGAACTCCTTTGTCTCTGGGCTGTGTTACAGGACTCTCCTTCAGGCTTCCCTTCTCCATCTCCCATTTTGAGGCTCAGCCCCTGCTTGCACAGGAGCCTGGAAGGCCTAAACCAGGAACTGGAGGAGGCGTTTGTGAAGGAGCAGGGAGAGGAGGAGCTGCTGCGGGTAAGTGAAGCTCCCAGGGCTGCCCTGGGCCCTCTGGGTGCTCTTGGAAATCCCTTCCTCTAAAGGCACCTCCTGTATCTGCAGCTTGGCCATGGGGACAGTCTCTGTGCCTGGTTTCAGTCTGTCCTAGGCATGTAACGGTCTAAATTGGGTCAAGTGACTGCTCCTTCCCTCCTTAAACCTCGCTGGTGCTGTGAGATCAGCCAGTAGCAATCTCAGGGTGGCTGATGCCTCACCGACAGCTTTAAGACACTCAGACTGGTGTCCAGAGGCTCCTCTGCACTGGGCAGATGTGGGAGAAGTGACTCCAGATGGCTTGGAACTGAAGTGTGTTACAGGATCCGGAAGGACCCATGTCCTTGGAGCAGAGGCTCTGCCTGTAGCTGGATCCAGCATCCCAAGCAGCTGCTCTCTGTAGCTGGAGCTGCTCTTAAACCCCTTCCCTGGTGCCAAGGGGCTTTCTTCCTCCTCTGAGACTTTGCTTCCTCCCTAGATCCTGGATGTCCCAGATGGGCACAGGGCACCAGCGCCTGCCCAGAGAGGCTCTGGAGCTGCATCCCTGGTGCTGGAGCCTGGCAGTGGCAGCTGGAGCAGCCTCTCCCCTTCCCCTTCGGTGCCTCTGCACCTCTCCCCACACCCCCCAGGGAGGCTGACAATGGAAGAGCCCTCCTGTGCAGTGGATGAGGTGCAGCCAGAGCCCAAAGAGAAAGGTAAGAACCTGGAGCAGAGGGGTTGGGAGCTCAGGGGACAGAGGGGGGGCAGTGTCTCATCCCTGTCTGTGTGCTGGCTTGGAGGCTGCAGCAGGGATGGGAGAGAGGGTCTCGGTCATGGCTAAGTTGTGATGGGTGGCTTCCAGCAGTAGATGGAGGACGTGAGCTGGGAATGACACAGGAAAGGTTGGGGATTTGAGCACTGCAGCCTCCAGCCCCGGGTCTGAAGGAACGCGGTGAGGTTGGAGCAGTGTTGGTTTCTTTTAAACATTGCTCCAAATGTGCCTTTTTTTCCCCATCAGAGGAGGGCAGCCCCTCCCCAGTGCTGGCCTTCGCGTCCTCCCCTCGCCCCAACCACAGCTACATGTTCAAACGGGAGCCTCCGGAGGGATGTGAGAGGATCCGGGCCTTTGAAGAAGCTTCGTAAGTACCAAGAGGCTGCTGGGATGGGGGAGCTGAGGGTCTGCTGCTATAATCACCCCCCTCAAAGCAGGGAGCAGCCACTGGGGAAGCATTCCTGAGCAAACTGGGGCTGCTCCAGGCCTGGTGTGGAGCAGGAAGCTGGAATGCTGACCCTCAGAAGGGTCTGGTGGTCCCATCCCTTCCCAGGCAGTGGGTGTTGGTCAGCAGAGCCCTTGCGGAGCAGCAGCAGTTGTAGAAGTCAGCCCTCAACAGACCATGCTCCTCATGCTGCTCTGTACCTGAGGGGGCTCGGCTCCCAGTCGGGCCCTCTGAAGGGTGCTGCCGCTCCAGGTGTTCTCGCTGTGGCTGCTCCATGCTCCTGGGAGCAGCCATCCCCAGTGCCATCCCCTCTGTCTCTCTCCAGCTCCCCCAGCCCTGAGCAGCCTTTCCAGCCCTCCTGCCCAGACAAGAACAAGGTGCATTTCAACCCCACCGGCTCTGCCTTCTGCCCCGTCAGCCTGGTGAAGCCGCTCTTCCCAAACGTGGGCTTCCTCTTCAGGAGCTTCCCAGCTTCCTCCGTCCCTGTCCCGGGCACGTTGACGTCCTGCCAGCCCCCGGCCCCGTTCCTCGGCGTGCGGAAGGACGCTGCGGGTGGCAGCTTCAGCGACGTGGCCACGGCTCCTGCCCTGAGCTATGAACCCTGGAAGCGCGGTCAGGCCGAGGAGAGCGTCGTCTTCCACAGCTCCCTGGTGGTGTGAATCCTCTGGGAGCGCAGCTCTTCCAGCTTCTGGAGATTGGTGCCTTGAGGGTGGGATGCGACAGCCAAGAGGCAGCCCTGGGACTGCGCCCCACAGCAGGGTGATAGAACTGTGAAGCACGGAGAGCCATGGGATTCCTGGCTGCTGGAGAGGCTCCTTTCCCTGAGCCTCCCCTCTTCAGAGCACTTCCCTGTGCTCAGTTGTCCTTGTTTCCTGTGGGATTGTGCTGGTGCAGAGGAGCAGAGGCGAAGTTGGGCTCTGAGAGGATTCGGGTGGGGATTGCTGAGCCCTGGGGAGCGGGAAGGGGGAAGAAGGGGCCTGTGGGCCCCCTGCTCTCGGCTGCATCAGCGCTGTCAGTGCAACTCATCTCCCCCAGCACCGGCTCCCTCGATACCTTGGACCCCCCAGACAAGCCGGAAGCTTCGGCAACGTTTTGTCTGTGCTCCGCGAGCTGGTGTGAGCCAGTGGAAGGAGCCAGCTGGGGCTGTTGGGTTTCCCTGCGCCTGAGCAAAGGTTTTCCAGGTGCCTTGGCAGGAAGAGGGGATGGAGGCGGAAAAGTTCCCTGCTCCAGGGGTGCCGCTGCTGGGGGGTGGCCCATGGCAGCAGGGCTGCTCAGACCCTTTGGAACCACGCGTGTGGGCGCTGGGGATGAGCGGGGCCGCCTCTGCCTGTATCTGATGTCAGACGTTTCCAAAGACACTATTTTTGCAGCTCCTTGAAGTCTATTTCGGGTTTGTGTTTGTAGAGCTTAACGGCGGGGGCAGAGATCGAAATAAACACTTGAGGCATTAAAACCCCTCTGTGCCGCTTCCCTCCGTTACCAGCGGAGCCCGGGGCCGCCGGGTGGGGCGGGCGCTAGGACCGCGCAGGAAGAGGCAGCAACCCTCGTTGCGCATGCGCACGCGCTGTCAGAGTCGCACCGCCCGCAACGGCTCCGTTAGTTCCGCTCACTGGCTCACAGCCAATCCCCGCGCGCCACATCGTGTTACGTCACGCGAGGGCCGCACTCAGAGAAGGCCCCAAC